AGGAGAGGGGCTGCAGAGCCATTCAGCAGCCAGGGTAGGGCCCTTCCCTCATAGATGGCTCTGCCATCTGATTTCAGAGTTGTCTGCCTTGACACGTGTATCCTGTGCCTTGTGAAGGAGGCAGTCAAGAGCCTTGAGCTCTCTCAGATAAATGGCTCAGCTCAGAGCACTGTGGCTTGATGTTCCTGAAGCTGATAATCCTAATTAACAGGCTTTTTCTGAGTCCCTTTTATACCACTCCAGCAGCCCAAGTGGGCTTTAAAGTGAATGGAAATTACCCCATGGAGCGCTTTCCCTGGAGATGTTGCTATGCCGACCTGCTCAGAGCAACTATTGAGGCTTCCTAGCTCTCCTCCATCCTGCATTGTTCTTGCTGTCACAGAGGCTCAGATGGTGCCAGAAGTGTGGCTGGGACAGAGAGGGCCCAGACTATTATTTACTTTTTCTGGAAGATGTGGGTAGGAGCGGAAAAAACAAGTAGAGAGGAGTAAAATCATGTCAAGCATCAACAGCAATGGAAAACCAACCTGAAAGACCTGAGAGTCCTTCTGATGGAAAATTGAGTCAATTTTCTCATGCACAATCCTTAAAAAAAAACCAAAACAAAACCAAAAACAAAACCAAAAAAAAACAAAAAACCCCAATTTTTTCCTTTTTTTCATTGGAGGTCTGCAGGCAATAAGGTTTCCCCTGGGTACCTGGGTTTCCTCACCCACTCTGGTGGGAACACTGGGAGGTAAGGTGTGTTCTTCCCCAGCCCTTCCCAGCAGGTGCCTCCTGCCCTTCATGGGCAGAGGTTGTGTGGTGCTGCTGGGTGATGGAGCCATTTCTCCCTGAGGTGAAATCCATCCCATGCAGGCAGGAGTTTTTGTGTCTTCCCCCTCACCCTGAGGCACACAGCTTGGAACATTTTTGGCCACTCTCATTCCCCTTAAATTCAATCTTCCCAAGGCCTACAAATCTGAGGCATTAAGAGGAAGACAAATTATAATGAATGTATATTAGGAATATAAAAAGTAACGACTTAATATAACTTTCTCTTCTCCCCCTTCCCTCCCCGTTCATGACCTGATGTTTTTAACATTTTGGGAACTGCTAAATCTCGGAGGGATACAGACTGTGCCAGGGAGAGCTGGGGGTGCTCCATTTGTGGGCTTTCTCTGCCCCAGGGCACTCAGAAAGCAGCACCTTCCTTCCTTGTGCCTCAGGGATAAATAACAACGCCTCCACTGGCATCAAAAGTGGGGTTAATAAAATGATTAAAATGTTAAAGTGCCATGGGTGTGGCTGTGTGGGCCCAGGGGCAAGAGGGTGGCCCTTGAGCGAGGCAATTTCCAGAGCTGGGGCTGTCCTTTGGGTTATGGTCACTCCAAAAGTCACCAGCACGAATGGGGATATAGAAAGCTGAAATAAAGTCCACCAAATATTACTGCCAAACCCCAAGACATTTGGGGAAACATCAGTTATTTTATTTACATTGGCAACAGGCTGAGGGGAACAAGCAAAGCCTTCTCCTGCTTTACAAATAATGACTTTAAATGGCTGAGACTGCTCCTGAGCAGGGCTGGCTTGAAGCAGCTTCTGCCTTTCTTAAAGAAAAACAACAAACCCCAAAATATCCACCGCCCATCAAGTATAACAGTGACATTTTTTTTCTAATTTCCAACAAGGTAGTTTTCTCTGGGGCAATAAATAAATTAACCAGCTCCAGTAATCCCATCAGGAGGAGAACAGGGGACAATTTTTACCCTTCTTACAAGGTGACAATAGACAGTGGTGAGGATGGGCAGTGTATAATGTTGTTTATTATGTATAATAAGAAGCATCCAGAAATCTCAGTTAAGGACCAAGCCCCTGTACAAACACACAGTAACAGAATCCCTGTCCTGAAGAGCATACAGGCTAAAAATGGTTCCTCATGTAGCATAATTTGGAGGGGAAGAATAGGAATTAGAGGCAGAGAAATGAATTTAAAAAAAAATAAAAATCAACCTTTTTCCTGATTTCCTTTTATACTCCAAACAAAGGGCATAGATCATAATTTCCAGTCCCCATCATTAGATACTAGGATAGCAGAGTGATAGAATTATAGAATCATAAAATCATTTAGGTTGGGAAAGACCTTTTATGATCACAATGTCCAAATGTAAATCTAACACTGCCAAGAACTCCATCAAACCATGTCCCCAACTGCCAAATCTCCATGTTTTTAAACACCTCCAGGGATGGTGCCTCCACCACTTCCCTGGGCAGCCTGTTCCAAAACTTGACCATCCTTCCAGTGAAGAATTTCCCCTCAATATCCAACCTGAACCTGCCCTAGCATGTTTTCTCTTATCCTGTGTCTTGTTATCTGGGAGAAGAGACCGACTCACCTCTCATCACACCCTCCTGTCAGGAGTTGTGCAGAGCAATAATTTCCCCTGAGCCTCCTTTTCTCCATGAGCCCCCCCAGCTCCCTCAGCTTCCCCTCACTCATCAGGCTTGTGCTCCAAACCCTGCCCTGTTCCCAAACTGACCCCAGGGGTTGAGGTGTGGCCTCACCAGGGTCCAGCACAGAGGGACAGGTCACTGCCCTGGTCCTGCTGGCCTGGGCTGTGCTTGCCTTCACCACAGCAGGGGTGGGAATGTGACTTGCTGGTCCCTGGGAAGGGGAGGCAGGAGGTGAGGGAAGGCCAGTGCCCACCTGGCTGGTGAGGCTGACAGCATGAAGCTCCTCCACCAAATTCCTGGCAAGGGGAGAATGTTGAAACCTCCATGAGAGGAGGAGGAGGCAGCACAGCCACCCAGGTGTTTGAAGCAACCTGAGTGCCTTGCAGCATTCCTGGTGCCTCTGTCCTCCCTGCCCAGAGCAGCACAGCTCAGCCCCATGGCTTTGGTCTGTGTCCAGTGCCAGCCTAGGAGGGCACAGAGGGGCTCAGGGCCATGCTGAGCAGGGCAACTCATGTGCCCTGGGCTCCCTCCTGATAGCTGGAAAACCATTTTATAAGGAAACCGAAGCCTTGCAAAGTAATTCCAAAAGAATGGCAGATTTTTTTTCTTTTTCACGTTTCTTAGCTTTCTTTTTTTTTTTTTTTTTTTTTTTGAGATACTATAGAAAATTAAAAACATGATTGAATTTGTGCATGCCTTTATTTATTGTGCTATGGATGATGGGCACAGATTTCCCTAAGCCAAAAAGCCCCCTCCCTCCTCCTTCCCCAGCCTTAGTAATCAGCTTCCTTGTGCTCCAGCCCACGCTAGACTATTTTCCTCTGTCAAATCCTCCATCATTGGTTAAATTACCTGGGTGTGTGTTGGCTTCATCTTTTTTTGGTGAAATCTTACAATCTTTCAAGTCTACTTTGTCCGAGTCCCTGTCATCCTCTTAGGTTTTTGTACACCCTCTTTCTCTCCTGGCTGATTTTGTAAAAGGTCTAATTCCAACCAGTTGCTGCTCTCAGGGCTGAAGTCTGTTCTCCAGTGCCCATGCTAATCATATGTGTTCACCAAGAGCTTCGAAGCTACAGCAAATTGCAGCTGTGCAGGCTCCATGGCACAGGGCTGTTCATTTTTCCCTTCCACCCTCCTTTTCTCAGCTGCTCCCCTTCCACATTTCGCTCCCTGCATTCAGTGCAGCCTCCACTGCCTGCACACCTTTCAAGCCACCATCCTGTTGAGGAGATATCTGGCACAGACCCTGGTTTGCCACCGGGGTGTCCCCTCCCACACACCCCCCGACAGCTGCCTTCCCAAATGTGAGGACGTGCTTCACTCAGAGTCTGCCGTGTGAGCCAGTTTGAATCTAGGATGCTCTTTCCTTTTGGCTCGCCACAGAGATCACAGGACCCTGTTTAATCCAGCTCCCTGTCGGTGTAGGGCTGAGTCATAGGAGGTTTTTCTGTTGCTACATCTAATAACGCTTTGCTGCTGGGAGCAGAACATCAACCAGCTTGGCTGGGAGTCGGCACTGTCACCCAGCAGCTTCCCTTGTCTGCAAGTTGTTTTGATTCTTTTCTTAGACTTCTCCCTCTCTGTGTCTTTTTCTCTAAAACATTAATTTCCTCTAATTAGAGCCTCCTTAACAATTCTTTCCCCCCCCCTTCCTCAGTTAATTTCCTCTAATTAGAACCTCCTTAATAATTCTTTTGCTAAATCAATTTCCTCAGTTAGAACCACCCGCCACAATTTCTTTCCTCCCTTTCAAAAGCTGTCGGAGTAGCTAAGCAAATTATGCTTCTGAGTAACCTTTATCTCGTACTTGGTATTTTAAAAGAACTGTAACAGGTTAGACAGGCACAATTTCCCCTTTCAGAGCTCTGCTGGTCTGACCCCATTAGGTTATACTTAGCTGAGTGTTGTACTATTGTATACTTAATAAGATGCTCTAGCTGTTCAACTGGAACTCAGGTAAGGCTGCATTTGTGAATGAATTTAACATGACACTTCTTAATTCAGATCAGATTTAACGGTGTCAGAATCCATCTTTAAACTAGATCAAATTGCTCTCCAAGAATATGTAAAACCTCCTGTCCCTGTTACCTGTCCTGTGAGCCAGACTTTCCTAACTTTTCCGCTACAGCCATACTGGCTTTCTTCTCCTGACAAGCCTTTTAAGTTCTAATTTTTTTCTAAAACATGCTGTTTTTAAAAAAAGATCTTTTTTTTTTGTTTCTAATTTACACAGCAAGTAACTATTAAGGGCCCACTGCTTTTCACAATCATGCTGTGGGCCACATCAGCAGCTGGTGTAAATGGGGAGGCAGCCAGGTGACACATTATGGACCTTGGGCCTGAGTTTCCTCTTCTTTATTATGCAGTGTCTCCCCAGCTGAAACTGTGTTATGCATTTCTCCATCTCTTTAAGATGGGACCATCTCACTAAAATCCATCAAGGACAACTCACTCCATTTCCTGATTTTATGAGGAAACAGGCCAAGTGATGATGGCAACTGGGGGGGGGTCATCCAGTTAGAGTGGAAACTCTTGTTTTATGCAATTATGAAAAACATGGAGAAGGGAACACATCTGAGCTGCAGGAATGCACTGGTGGCTGTGTGTTCCCTTTCCTATACCCCTTCCTCACGTTGGCACCAACCACCCAGCACAGATCTGATGGCATCAATGAGTGTCACCACATGGGACAGCACTGCCCCTCTGTGATTCACAGCCCATGTGACACAAACTGAAGAAAACTACCTCACTACAGGCTCAGGAATCTTCTTCTGGCCTTTCTCACAAACATTTCCTCCCTCTTTTGGCTATGCCCAACTGCAGAGCCTGCTCTGAGTCCTGGTCACACAGCAGAAATGTCACCCTGGGCGATGAAGAGTCTGCTCCAAGGCAGGTGGAGCAACTTTCCGGCTTGTGAAGTGCTTTTCATCACCGTCTGATGGGAATCAGCAGTGCCTCAGTGGGTGGCTGTCCTGGAGTGATCCGGGAGGAATGCTTCATAGATACTCTGTGGGGAGCTGGGGGAGGCTTGCAGCAGCTCCATCCTCCTCAGTGCCACCATCAGATGTCTGGGCAGGCCCAAAACGTTTCAGCCAAGCCCAGCTACTGTGGGAAAGCTTCACTGCTGTCCTTTTCCACGCTATTTCCTTCTGACCTTTCCGAGCTTCTAGCACCCCACAAAGTCTGTCCTGGTGGAAGTGATGCAGAAGTAGCAAGATGTATTTTACTTCCTTTGCAGTCTTATTAACTGTGCAGAAAACTCCATTTGCCATCACTTATCTTGAAATCTCATAGTAGGGTTGGATGGAAAAATGAAATGCATTAAGGCTTTTGTTTTTTGACAAAATCCCTAATGCTTGAGACGGGAATAGGATGTTTTTGGGTAATCTTACAAGGAGTACAGTGCTGGTGGTGTTGGAGAGAGGGTTGTCCGGGGAAGGGTAGATTCTCTAAAAAGATATGTTAGAAGGCTAAAAAAAAGCTGTTTGGTTCTTCTCAGAAGAGATGAGAGAGCAGGAAGAGGGAATCACCAGGTCGGGTCGTTCAGACTGACAGCTGACTACAACAGGGGAGACGCTGTGCTCTACGCTCCTCGAGAAGCCCCTCTTGCTGGTGCCCAGTCCATTCCAGCTGAGGCCGAAGAAGGGCTAGAGATAGAGATAGGCAATCCAGTAGACGATGTTGAAGAGCAGGAAGGCGGTGGGGAAGAAGACGCGGGAGTAGGAGTCCAGGCGGGATATGTGGATGCGGACCCGCCCCTCCCGCCACATCCCCGTCTGACAGTCCTCGATGCAGCAGAAGAACCTCTCACACTCCTTCCCCTCCAGGCACGGGGAGCCTGGGTCGTCATCCTCATCCTCCTCCATCTCCGGGGGCCAGTGCATGATGTGGTTGATGTTGATGGCGGTGAAGGTTGGCATCACCTGTGCACCGGCAGGTGGCTGTGAGGGGGACAGGTAGGCAGGTTAAAGGGGAGGAAAAGGCAACAAAACACGTTCTGGACACCAACCCCCACCCAAGTGGTGATAGATCAGATCGTCATGGGTGCAGCTCTATGGAGAGGGATGACTGATAATCCCCAGTCTCTGCAGCTGGTTGTGAATCACCACGTGTGTGTTCTGGGGGAACAGCAGCTCCCTGCATGACTGTGAGTATTCTTCCTTGCACCCCAGGGCACAGCAAAGCTCTGATTGCACTGATTCCCCATCTGTGCCAATGATAGTCAGTGCAGAAACACGACCTGTTCGATCTGTTCTGGCCTCTTCCCTCATTTCCCTGAGCTCAGCTGTCTCTGAAGACACAGCACACAGCCCAGATGTGTCTGCTGGTTGCTTCCAGTTACTGGAGAAAAGCTGGGGAAAGGCTGTGTGGCTCCTCTTGGCCCATCATGAGTCTCATGGAAGAGCTCTGTCCACCCTGGGATATGAGGGATATGGGGGATAGATGTGCTGGGAAGTGAGCCTGGCCCAGAAGAGATATGTCTTTTTCTGTTTCAGTTCTGGCCTAGTTCAGAGGCCTCTTTCAGTTAATGTGTCAGAAGTACCTGCCATGAGCTTGGACAGATCTCATGACAGAGGATGAGGATGAAGAGAATGATGACCACCGTGGGTTCACTATCCCCACACATGGCAGGTCCTCTGATGGAAGACCACAAAAAAAAGTCAGTTTCTTAATCTCTGTGACCTAAGATATCTCTGTAATCCAGAGATCAAACTGATACAGGTGTCTTAATGGCATTTACATTCAGTCATGTGAGTCATTCTAAACTGTTCTGATAAACTCTCCAGCAATTCTGGAGAGAGCACAGGGTGCCTGGCTCTGACAGGGGCTTCCTTGTTTTAAGGGAGCTTCAGCTGCTTTTTCTGGTTGTGTCTCACCTCTCAGACCCGGAACACAGGGTGGCCTGAAGACTGGATGAACTCAGTGTCAGTCAGGCACTAAACCACACCAGGAGTTTCCAATGCAGGCTCAGGAAGGATATTTTTAAATAGCTTAGGGTTGTAACAGCATCCACCTCTGCTGGCCCCTTTGACCTACCAGCCTGGCTTTCCTGTGGCTGTGCTCCAGTGGTTTCTTGTTTCCCACCAGGTAGTTGAGCGTGGCATACTCCATGAGAGCAGCAAAGACGAAGATGAAGCACACAGAGACAAAGAGGTCCATGGCTGTGATGTAGGAAACACGAGGGAGGTGCTTGCGGGAGATGGTGCTCAGGGTGGTCATGGTGAGCACAGTCGTGATACCTGAGAGAGAAAACAGCTGCCTTAAGTATTGACAAGGGGCACTTCTGTCTTCTACACACATCCATCCCCAAAACACTCCCATTTCCTCTCTACTCTGGTTGTCTGGTCCCATTTTGGCTCTGCTCAGCCAGACTCTGGTTTTGAGGAAGCCTCTGACAATGCTCTATGAAAAAGAATGGTGTTCAGGACTCAGGTATCACAGACCATCAGACCATCAGTGTGGACTGGTAAACGAGTGGGAAATTCAGACTCTGCACGAGGCTGGGTTGGTCAGGCAGGGCTTGCCCTCACCTCCTGTCCTCCATGTGCCTCAGCAGAGCTTCTAGAAGGAAGTTCCATGTTCCATAACCTTCCCAGGCACAGAGGGGAGGCTGACAGATCTGTAGTTCCTGGGCTCCTCCTTTGTACCCTTTGAAAAAAGGGGTGCAGTATTTCCCCTTTTCTGGTTACTACCATGACTTTTCAAGTATCATGGAGAGTGGCTTGGAAACCACATCAGCCATGCTCTTGGATGTATCTTGTCAGGTCCCATAGATTTATGGATGTTCAGGCTCCTCAGGTGGTCTCAAAGCTGATCTTCTCTTGCAGGGAGAGGGATTTTGCTGCTCCAGTCCCTGTCTTGCAGTCCATCCACTGTGGAATGTGGGGAGGGAGACTTCCAGTGCAGACTGAGGCAAAAAAGTACCTCAGCCTCCTTCTCATCCATTTTTACCAGCTTGCCAGTTATATTCAACTTGCTTTGACGTTCCCTTTCTGGCTGACAAACCTGGAGAAGCCCCTGTTAAGTATCCTCTGCATCCCTAACCCCATGCCTACACAGCTGGCAGTGTCCCTGTACTCCTCCCGGGACACCTGTCCCTGCTTCCACTGCCTGTGCATTTCCTTCTTGCCCTTTAGTCTGACCAGAAGCTCTTGACACATTCATGCTGGTCTCTTGCCTTCCTTTCCTAATTTCTTACACCTGGGGCTTGAGAGCCCTTGTGCTCTTTGGAAAATGTCCTGAAAAAATCTGCCAGTGCTGTTCTGCTCCCTGGCCCTCAGGCTGCCCTGTAGTAGATACCAGTCACAAGGTTCCCTTTATTTTCTTGGTCCAATTCCTACCCATACATTTTCAATCTGCCCCTGGCTATTTTTCAGAGACAGCTCTTCACAATCTGTCCATTCCTTGATGCAGAGGGCAAGTGTGTAGGAGGTGATAAGGAATTTCTTTTGACATGAGTGGGGCTTGGAATTGTTTTTGCAGAAGCAGCAATGCTCACGTTTCTGCTTCCAGAGATGAAGTGTCAGGAGCCAGCAAAGGATCAACTACAGGAGCTGGTATTGTGATCTCATCCACTGATTTTCAGGATGTGGGGAAGAAGCAGGAAGTCCACCTGTTTCTCCTTGTCTAGCATCCACCTAAATCCACCTGCCACCCTTTCCTGAGGTCGCCTCAGTGGCTTTGGGGGTAAGCGTGGCAAAAGATTTTCACGTTTTCCTGCCATACTTGCATTAGCAGTATGTGATGTGACTTCCCATATTTTTGAAGTGCCAGTGGAACTGGTCCAGTTTACATCTCCCTAATGTAGGCTGGCAGGCTCAAAATGTGCTGGGGATCATTTGTATTAAGTACAACAGGGGCTGTGGAGAGAATACATTATTCTTCATGGGCTGTAAGCCCTTACCATAGAGAGGGGCCCCTCTCCTGGGGAAACTTGCCTTTGTTTTTCTGAGACAGTCACTAGAGCCATGCACATTTTCCTCTTGCTATTCATTCCTTTACCAGCCACAGACTATGACACACCCTCACCTTCATTGGAAATGACACCCTCCTCCTCCTCCTTTCTCCATGAGCACCAAACTAATTAATTTTGAGAGGGAGGTGGGGAGACATGGCCATCATGGATGGGCTCTGAATAGCTGATGGTCCCTCCTCTCCTCTCCATCCCCACAGAGACCTGCAGGCAGGGCTGGGAATGCTACCTCCAATTAAAGGCAAAGTCAGCAGGGCTGATAGGAAGGACAGCACTGGGAATCACAGCTTGCTGCAAAATGCAGATACAGCCAAAGGGTATTAGAGGCTCACAAAGATCTCCCCAGCACCTATCAGAGCAGCATTCAGTCAACACAAACGTTTCTCCTGCCTTAAGGAGCCACTGCAGTTTGCTGAGAAAACCTGTATAGGCAGAGCTATTGTCACTCTCTGGGTCCTGTGGGGTGACTGACAGAAAAAGGTTGTACCTACAGGGCTTCCAGCTCCTGCCAGAGCCTGGGGCTCTGTGGATGCAGCCAAGCAACTTTGCCTATTAACCCTACAACCTTGCTGTCAGCAGCCCTGCACAGAAGCCTTGAAAAGTTGTGAGGAAATGTGGAAAATGTGCAACTGACAGGAGCCCTTTGGGCAGCACTGCAATGCCACAGCTCAGCCCCTCCCTGTCCCTTTTGGTGCATGAAAATATCCCGTTGTCAGCTTGGGAAAAGGCTGTGCTTGGGTTTCAGATGAAGCCATGAGAGTGAGGTGCTCTCCTGAGATAACCCAGCAGCCCAAGCCAGCACAGCTGGAGATTTGGTTGAGCTGTGGAGTGTTACACATAGGAAGCTGAAGGAGTGAAATATTCTCTGGTAAGCTCAAAAATGCCAGAAAATGGCAATGTGCTTCGGGAGATTTTGTAGTCCAACACTGCCAGTCTGCTTGCCTGACAGAGTTTGACAAGCATCAGACATGCATCATGCTGTCTCTTACCCAGAGATGTCCTGGCTGGCGTAGAGTCTCTCTTGATCCAGAAGGAAACCCAGGAAAGAACAACAGTCAGGATGCAGGGAATGTAGGTCTGAATGGCAAAGTAACCCATACGTCTGCTTAGGTCAAAAGAAACTGTCATCACCATGTACTCCCCTGGAAAAAGCAACAGAGACATTGGAATCATAACGTGGGGCTTCCTAAAGCAGAACAATCAGCAAAGTTTCAGAATTTGGAGTTTCTGATAAGGTTTTCTCGTTGTTTTAGATGCCTGTCCCTCTGGTTTTGTAGCTGCCCAGGTTGTTAACTTCACGTAGCTGGCTGAGTAGGTTTGGTGACTCACTCGTTTTGTTGCTAGTGGATTCTGTGGCTACCTGGCTGGCTGTGTAGCTGTCCTGCTTGATGTCTTTGTGACTAATTTAAGAGCTGACTGGGTGGCTGCCCAGCTGGCTGTTTGCTTGGCTGTCCATATGGCCACCAGGCTGCATTCATACTGGCCTGGCTACACAGTTTGGAAAAGTTTCAGGGAAGGATCTGCAGACAACATTTATCTTCAGCTGACTGCTGCAAGAGTTTCTTTTCTATAGAAGCTCTTTGGCTGTACCAGGCTGCATGGCCTGGCTTGCTAACGAACTACCTGAGCTGTGACAAAGGAAGTGTCCTTCAATCAGTTCCACTGAGAGTCTGGTTCTGCCTCTGGAAAAGGCATGTGGTGCTGTACATCCTAATTGCTCATTTGGCAGCTTACAGTGGGGTTCTTTCTTTTTTCAGAGGCTCACAGTGAGTATTGGAAGAAAGCCACCTGACAGCTCTGGGGTTAAGATGGAGCTTGCAAGCAATTACCAAAAAAAAGAGAATTACAAACATCAGAAGGCCACTGGTGCATTCAAGACACTTTCACATCTTGTCCCAGTTTGTGCTGCCTTTCTACCCTGGCTGCTACTGTTGAGAGCAGCAGCTTCTGCAGAATGGGAGAAGCTCCTTGCTGTTTCAGAGAGCTTAAAAGTATGAGCTCACCCCACCTGCAGGAATCCAGAGGCTTTCCTCAGTTGTCTGTGGGAAGGAAAGGGGATGTGAGCTATTGTGAGGAGGAGGAGGAGCTGAAGGGCTTCCATTATTTAGTTTCTTCACACATGCAGCCTTGTCCCTGTCTCTTACAGCACAGTTCAGGTGTTCATCAGCCTGACAGGAGTTTACAGAGGGAAAGATCCAGACCTGCAAGTACTGATTTCTCCACCCCCATTCCAATCATAAGCATCATCCAGAGGTTACACAGCATGCACACACTGCAACGAGAGGGGATTTAAGCTCCCTCTCCTCTCCCTCCTGACCCTTCAATTAGGGATAGCTTCATTCATAGCATTGTCACCCCACAGTTCACAGATGTCAATGGTTCTGTCCTCTCCTTGATCCATCTTCCCCTCACTCTTCATCCCGTCTGCTCCCTCTGGCCAATGTTCATCCCTTCATTTTTAGTTTTTTTCTCTGACCACGCTGTTGTAACCTTCCTTCCCCATTGCTTTGCCTCCCACCAGGTCTCCAGCACAGTGGTGCTCCTGTGGGCTGCCTCCCCTTGCCTCACCTGCCCCAGTCCTGAGGACCTCTGAGGTGTTCCTCAGCCCTGTGAAGTCGAACTGGTAGAGCCTCCAGGTGCGCTGGTCAGAGACCTCGATGGAGTAGCGTCTCCAGCGATAGACGATCTCCTCGCGGGGGTATCCATCTGGGAAAACCCATCCACAAGCATCAGTAGGACAGCATGCCATCTACCACCCCTCGGGCACTACCCTGGCTGCAAAAGCACTGGCATCTCACCAGAGCTGCTCTGCAAACATGAACCCTTCAGGAAGGTGTTCCTGGTGCCTTTTGTTTAGAGTTCCTGAGGTATTCCCACATGGAATGGGGATAGGGACTGCATTTCCCCTCGTGGGCTGCTTCAGATCCTGGGGATGGGGAAGGCACCGCCAGAAACAGAGCCTTTCTAAGGACTGCACTGCTGGGAATGAGATGTGGGCTGGTCCAAGAAGACTCTGCTGGTTTGAGGAAAAACCTGTTTGAGGGTGGCAGAGTAACAGAACAGTGTGCCCAGGGAGGTTGTGGAGTCTCCCTCCCATGATTCTGGAGTCAAAACTCTGGATTCAAAACCCCACCTGGCTGCACTACACAGGTGTAACCTGCTCTAGGTGACTCTGCCTGTCAGTGGGACTGTTCTAGATGATCTCCAAAGGCCCCTTCCAGCCCTGACTGTTCTGCAGTTCTGTGACTCCACCAGCCTGGAATCTTTAAGGCTTTTAACTCCCTGGGGCAGCTGGCACCTCATGAGTGCCATCCCAGGCATGAGTACACTGGGAATACAAAACTGCCAGCATGATTCTGGCTGCTCTGTGTGCTCCCTGTACCTCTTGCCCTGGGAGCTGATCTATGGAAAAGAAGGGGTGCACTCTCCATGGAGAAGAAAACCTGGCCCTGCGGGCTGAAGCACAGCTTCTCCTGCCTCTGGCTTTCTTGACAAAGAAACAAGCCTGCTGTGAAGCAGGGACCTAGGAGAAAGTCCCTTGGAGGAGGATGGAGTAAGAGCTTGGCAGCTAACTAATAGTGTGTTTCTAATTATCTAGTGTGTATGGCATGCACATTAATTAGCAAAGAATGAGGGGTGGTGGGAGATGAAGGGATGAGATCTCAGTATGCTGCCTCCTTCTGAAGCACCTCAGAGCTCTGAGCTGCATCTCTTCAGCAGCAGGGGAAGCAGGAGAACCTGAGCTCAGATGATTAAATCAGATTTCCCACCCACGCACGAGGACAGGGATCTCTTGGTGCAGAAAGGCTCCCTGCAAAATTACCAGAGGAGATGTGATAACATCAGAAGCACTCTCTGCTGAAGGGTCTAGATGAGTAGTGCACGAGAGAGGAGGTCTGAGTAACCCTCCTTTGGAGCAGAACGTTTCCAGACCTCACTCAGAGAGTGAGAGAAGGGGAAAGATGCAAGGCAGGACAGGTGCCATTTGTACTCCCAAATATATCTGTGTTTTTTCTGGAGTGACCAGAAGGTCAGTGAAATAATCTCCTCCAACCATCCACCTAAATTAAGGAGAAACTCAGAGATGTTGTTAGTCTATCCCTGATGACCTCTGCTAACCCAGGAGTGGGAGGATGCTTCAGGCCATGAAGGGTAATGGCTCAAGAAGGGTGCATAGAAATTAGGTGAAAAAATGCAGCTAAAAGTGAGGGTGGTTTCCCCAGAAAAGTTACTCCATTGAGGTTTCTCTAGCCTTCTACAGCTATCTTTAAAATGTGTATACTCACAACTGGAAAAAACCAAAGGGCAGGAGTGAGTGTCCATTGGGAAATTCTGCAGCTGGAGCAGACATTCAGCCTCGATTGTCAGCCTGAGACAGAAAGAGAGAGAAAGTGATTTTGAGCTGGTGAAGATCGCTTGATTCCAACACCTAAATGTGACAGAGGCATTCTCACTTCCTTGAGAACTAATTTGCTGAAGATCAGTCTGTTTGCAGGAACATTCCAAACCAAAAATATACTTTTGGATATTTTCAAGGTGAGGAAAAACATCTAAGTATCACCTTCAAAAAGCTCTTGTGTTTAGTCAACTTTTCAGGTTCGTTTATGAAAGTGAGAAGTTATGGAAGCAAAGAGCCAAATGTTTATTAACAGAATAAAACAGCTGGACTGGCCAAGACACCATTTTAAATTATTTTAGTTTAGAGAACCACTTGTCCATCTCTTTGTTCCCTCCCCTCAGCAGAGCCTGCTGGATGTACCTGAGAGTGTAGAGCACTTTTCCATCATTCCAGATGCGGAGGAGCTGATTGGGAGTGGTTATCCAGTGGGAATCAGCCCGTTTGGAGTTCCTAAAGAAGGTGTCAGGGATCCAGATGCGGCTCACCATGTTGGTGTTCAGTGTCAGCGCCTTCAAGGTGCTGTTGAACCGCAGGCGCCGGTCGTACCACGTCTGGGCAAAGAAGATGTCAATGGTGTATTCCTGGGAAAGACAAGGAAGAATGGGATGTTCTGGGAGGCATTCAGGCCAAGCAGAGCCTGCTCCTCTGGTCTGCAGGTAGTCACAGCCAGAACATTTATTTTCTCAGTCTGGGAGCAGGTGTTGGTGACCACTGACACCTTTCCAGGACATCCATGGCACGCTTAGGAAGACTTTGTGTTCACTGGTGGGCTGAGCCTGGCCCTTGCCTGGAAAACCAGGACCACACAAACAAGACCTTGGGCTTCCTCTTGGCAGACAACTCAATACTCCTTTTAAGCACAGGCATGAAGGGGCAGTGTGGATGTTGGCTGAATCCAGCCTTAAGTTCAGCTACACCTTTCAATCACAGGCAGGGAAAGCTGCTCACGAGCTTATCAGAGAAGGCAAGCAGATAGCTCTGTTTTTTATTGGGGTGCAGCCCAGCCCTGTTCCACACACCTAATTTGTACATATAGCAATAGTAGTGCTTTGCATGAATCTAGTGACAATCCACCCCTTGCTACAGGACTTACACTGCAAAGGGTTCGTACGAAACTCAGAGCACTCTGGGTCCTTGGGCAGATACCCCTTGCTGGAGATTAGAAAAGAAAGCTGGGGCTGTATGGTCCCAGCTCTGGGTGCAACCAGTTAAAAATCCTTAAAAATCAGTCTTTCGCTGACAGAAAAGAGATTTTGTACCATAATAAGGCCCTTCAGTTTTAGTAAGAGTGTGTCCTAGCTCATGGATAAGTGGCAGTTCTGGGAGGCAGCTCCTGCTGGATTGGACTGGCAGTAGCCCACACCATTAGCCCACCACTCTGCTGCTCGCTGCTGCAAGTCAATTCGCTCCTTTAACTCTTTTTCAGCCTGCCTGAGAAGGTGCTAATAGATGCCATGCAGGAACAAGTCTGGCACTCAGCAGCTGTCTGAACCAGACCCCAGACCCAGTTCCACCAGTGCGTGCTGCAGTCACCTGCTCCTGATGTGCCCTTTGGTCCCTTTCACTCCTGTTGAACCTGCACGACCCCCATTGCCTCCCTCTTTTGTGTGCAGAGATGAAGAAAGTCTGACTTTGCCATCCCTCCCTCTCATTCTCCTCCGCCCTCTATTGATTTATCTCGGTGGAATTTTTATGACTGCAGCACATCCTCCCCGCGCTGCCCTCGCTGCTGGTTCCGAGCCGGCTCCTCCAGCCGTGCTGCTAAAATAGCTGCAGCCCTCCCCCGGACAGCCTGTCCTGTCCAGGGCAGGGCACAGCACGGGCCCCACTTCATCTTCCTCACCCTCGCTCCCCTGGCAGCCAACAGAGAGGAGGGACGGGTCCCCAGCACGTCCCTTGCATAGGAATGAGATGGGGAGGGAAGAGCTTTTGCCATCAGGCAGCTGATGCTTCACCCTGTTCACAGGGGTGAGCAAAGGTGACAGGGACAGGGTCCTAATGGATGTCTAAGTGGGGAGAATGGGGGCAGGTGCAGCACCTTCGGAGGGGTGGCTTTGCCTCTACAGTTCATTCAAAGCAGACATGAGCAGACACAGAGCTAAGGACAGCAGCAGCCCTCACAGCCAAGTGCATGGGCACAGCCACTGCCCAGACCCAGGGGCTGGGAGAGCCCATCCCAGCACCTGAATGCGTGGATCACACTGGATATAGGATATGTGCTTGGATATAGAGTATGTGGGGATGGAGACATGTCAAAATGTGAAATAAAAGTAGCATTGGCACAGCGTTGGGGCCAAAATAGCACAATATTTGACATATTCTCCCCCATCACTGCACACCCCGTTCGAGTTCATATGAGTTTACATAGCTCCTCCTAAGTAATATCTCTAGTGTAGGAGAAAGCAACCAAAAATGCAGTGATGAATTCATGTTAGATGTCACTATCAGTGTTTAACTCCCAACTGGAGTCCCTGGTGACATCTCACTTCTGGTCTGGCTGCTCAGTTATGTCCTGCTGTAAAGTTCAGCACTCAAGTCTGGGATAATCAATGCTAACACTCTGGAAGAGTGGAGGGTCAGCTATCCCAGGGGCTTAGCATTTGTTGTCAAGCCCAGATTTTCAGGAGGGATCAGCGTTAAAGAGCTCCTCTTGTGCCATTCATAGCCAGCCTTTGCAAAAGGTGTGGTGCACAAGTCATTCAGCGCTTCTGAAAAATCTGAGCTGTTATTGTCACTGTCCTGTGGTTTGATCTAATTTCAGTGGCTATTATTAGCACAGCTATTCACGAGGCAGAACTTAGTAGCTGAGCTGGCTCCCTTGCCTCTCTGTAGGGAGCCCATTGGGAAATTTTGGCATTTACAAATGTATTTTCTTTCAGAATTATCTGAGGCAAGATTTATACAAAAGAGCTCTGGCCTTTGGGAGGACTTTTACCCTTCCAACTTCCTCCCCCATGCTGCTGAGTGAGTGAGCAGCTGTGTGTGGCTGAGCTGTTGTGGTTTAACCCCAGTGGGCAGCTTCCTACAGCCCTTAGAGAGGGGGGTAGGGACTTCTGGAGGGACATCTCAATGTGAAGCAGGCCAGGTTGTCTCCTGGAAATACCTCTTACTCTTCCTGACCTTGGAAGAGTCCACTGATCAAAGCTGAGTTTGGCAGGATGAGCTCAGCCCCTAAAACCCATCTCCTGCACCCCTGTAGTTTTTTTCTGTCCCTGATACTCAGCCATCAGAAAGAGACTTCCCAATGCCTCGATTTCCCCATGTGGAAAAGGGTTATTGTAAAATACGCCTCCACCATTACTGTACCATCTGCTGTGCAGCACATGGAGGTTGTTAACTTCTCTGTGAAAGCACAGGCATTTTTAGTGCTTTCAACAGAAGGAGCTAATGAAGTAAGGAGGAATGGCTTTAACAGTTTGGCCACACCATTTGGATCACACGTGGGGTAACACACACACGCTGGCACACACGCAATGTTACACCAAATTTCAGTCATGAAATAAAAAAATCAAACTCCCCATAAGGCAAACCCTGAGGGCTGCCTAGCCTAAATACTGTCACGTGAGTTTATCCCGTGCCAAGGGATGCCCTGCAGCATGTCCTCTGCTGGCTGAGTGTGCTCATGTCCAACCCAGCCTTTCAGCATGTCCCTGCTGGTCCTTGGTCACACTGTCACCACCTGGCACTGCAGCACATCCCTGATCAGCCCTGCTCTTCCTCATGTGGGCAGCACAGATGCTGGTGGAAGCACAGTTCCAGGGAATGGCACAACCTGAAAACATTTAATGGAACGGATGGTGTTCGGTAAAAGAACATTTGTGGGAATAAAAGGATGGGGAGCTTATGGGGGTGTTTCATATTGGTAGAAAAAAATAACAACAACAACAAAAAAATATTGCACTCTCAAACCCTTTCTTTTTTTGAAAGCTACAAGTTTGCTGTGTGAAAAGTAATTTCTAAGAAAATCCCAAACATTTTCAATCCAAAAGAAAAGAGATTTGTTCAGAAATCAGCCTGTCGCCAGCATAGGAGAGCTTGTGTGCTACCCTGAGGCCTCCTCCTTGGGTTATCTCTGCTGCTCTACCCCCACAGATGGGGAATCTGTCCATATATTCAGTCAGATTTGGCTTCAGGAAATCTGCTCTGGACCAAGTTCCACCCTGGGTTCAGAGTAAATATAATTTAGGGCTACTGAGTTTCAGAACAACAACTTAAATTCACAGGGTTTGCATGACAAGATTTGAATCACAGAATCACAGAATAACCAGGTTGGAAGACACCTCCAAGATCATCGAGTCCAACCTATGCCCTGGCACCTCAACTAAACCATGGCACCGAGTGCCACATCCAATCTTTTTAAAAATACATCCAGGGATGGTGACTCCACCACTTCCCCAGGCAAAGCATTCCAATACTTTATTATTCTTTCTGTGAAAAACTTCTTCCTAATATCCAACCTTTATCTCCCTTGATGCAGCCAATTGAGATAGTGAACAGTGTGTGTTTTCAGGTTACCTTACACAACAAATAAACACAGCTGGGCTCTGCCAAAACCTCCTTTTCAAGTGGCTTTTATCAAGTTTGTGTGTTCAGTTCAGCTGACCCCTCTCAAGGGTGCAGTCAGTGGGATCCAGAGGGGCTGGAACCCTGGATTCCTCTGTTCCATCTATGAGCTTCTTTTTCTGCATTGAGAGCTCAGCTTTCTGCCAAAAGAGAGGAACAAAGCCATGAGATGAACATGTCTTAGACGGCTCCTAAATTAGGATAAAAGAAAGGATTTAAATGTGGTTTTTGCAACTTGTATTCAACAGCAACAAAAAAACCTCTGAAGACAGGGCTCAGAGACCTGGAAACACCCTCCTCAATTTTCCTCTGCAGGAGACATAGTTTAGTCTCTTCCAACTCAGAATACTCTGTGAAAAATCCTAAGTAACAGTGGGGCTGAGAGATTAATATCCTAGACAGTCGCCTTCTAGCTTTCATTGTTCTGATATTTGTTTTTACTCATAGAGCTCCCTACCCTCTCCACCTCCAAGCAAATCTCTCACTGCAGTCCAATAAAGCAGGCTGCTTTCCTGGGAAGCAGGGACAGCATTTCAGGTGCTCTGACGTGAATGTGATGTGTCCATGCTGTCAATCACGCAGCCAAGCAAAGCAAATATTACAGGCAAACTCTTAGGGATGCTGCAATTCAGGAAATTCTCAGAAGTTCTTTCTTGGAGGAGACCCAGGAATGGGGTGTTTTTCTTTCAAGGGCTGGTAGGACACTCTGAGCAGGTCAAGGCAAGCCAGGAAGCCTCTCCTCCAATCTCCCTCTTCTGCAAAACAGGGTCCCCCCTTCAGACACAGCTGTGCTCAGCCTGTCCACACCCTCACAGCCATGCCCTGGTGAGCATTTTCCTCTCCAGGACAGCCCACTCGCCCTCCCAGCCTGCAAACACCTCAGACAAATCCTGGGTTGCACCACACATCTGCCTCCACACATCCCAGGGAACACATTCAACAGATGAAGAGATTCAAAGTCTGGAGATGCCTTCAAGACTAAATAAATAACCTAAATAAGATAACTGTATTTTAGAAT